GCTTGTTCTGGACATGGGGTCTCCCCTGGCCTCCCTGCCCCCGCCCTGCAGCTCCCCTGACCCACAGCACGTGGTTATTCCTCTGCACAGCAAAAGTCATAGTACATCAAAATGTTTTTTTTTTTATTTGAGACACAAAAATGCAAAATTGCTGAGATATCAAACATTTCCCGATCAGCTACAATACGGCCACTATGTACAAAAGATCAGATGATAAATGTGCACACATATAAAAATACAGTATGCATTACCTATGTACAGTACATGTGCAAAATGTATGGCATTCAAACATGATATGGAATTGATTTCAGGGGTGCAAACAGCAAATACAAAGGCATCATGGTTTTTCATTTAAAAAACAACATAAAAGGCAATACATGAATGGACCCCCGATTGCCATCATTTTTTGTTTATTAAACTAGTGCTTTGATAAGCAGGGCTCTGTAGATTGGTATCTTTCTCCTTTTTTTTCATAGAGTGAGATGCTAAGACATAATGTGACAATGAAAATAAGAAGAGAAACACCTATCTCATTGCATTTCTATTGCAAGCAAGAAAACAAGAGAACGAATTTGTATGTAGAAAGGAAAAAACTCTGTATTACTGCTAAATATGTATTATTCTTAAGCCAACAAAACAAATCTATACTATTTTACATGAAAACAATAGAGGAATATCTACATCTTTGTGAAAATTATAACCTTAAATGGATAATACCTTTTTGGGACTGATTTTTGAGAGCTCATTAGTCTCAAATTTTAAATAAAAAGTGCCTTCTTTTGGCAAATACTTGGCAATGCCTTTGGTTCCTTTAAAGCAAGTTTGCATTACTAGTAGTTTACTCGAGGTTAAGTACTTTTGGTAGCAACTAAACCCTTTCCTAAATACTTCCTCCTCCTAAGTCAGCAAGTTTCCTTACAGCATGATGTGGAGAGGTAATCGTTACGAGTCTCGGTGATTCTAGAACTTGGTTAAAGCCTTGTCTTAGTGGTTGGCACAGAGCTCTGTTAAAACAACATGACAACTGCGTCGAGATCGCCAATGACATGATGTATTTGATTCCAGACAGCACCTTGCAGATCTGAGATTGCCACCCTGTTACCACAGGGTCGTGACATTTTCTGATGTGATTTACAGAGCAACCTGTTTGCGTGGAGGGGAAGAGCTCATTTGTAAACATGTGCAGCTTTTTGAATTACAGGCCTCGAATCTGAGAGTTCAGGTAGAGAGCCTTTGTAATGATGCATTTCCTCAAATACTGCAAGAAAGGGCTAATGGGGACAGATGGAGACCTGCTTATTGCCATGCAGTCACTTCACAAATAAAAACATAGCCCAGAAAGATCACTGAAGGAGCAAGTTATCAAAGGTTTGAACCAAGAAAAAGAATGACTACATCTTAGTTGTCATTTTCCAGTTTTGACCGAAACCATGTACAAAATGAGCGAAAATGCAGTGAGGCTGCTCTCCAGATACACACGTCCGCACGTGTGAGCTGTTTCCTGGTGGCCCTGGCCTTCCAGTTAGTGTTCTCTGAGAGTGTGGGCTGACTGCACAGCCTCCAGGCTGGGACCACTTGGCCTGGTGTCCTGCCCTGGTGCCGGCGTCAGGACTGACGTTTGCAGTGACGGGTGGTGACCTGCGGGGCGGTACTTGTGGAGCTGCGTGGCCCCGGGGGATCTGCTGAGGGATGCTGACAGCTGGTCTCTGGGAAGCTCTCGGAGCGGCCCCCGCTGCCGCTGCACACCTGACTCCTGGCGGGGCCGCCAGACGTGCCCAGACACGTGTGTGAGCGAGGGGTGCGAACCCAGCCGAAGGCTGTTTGTGGACAGTAACTAGATGGTCCGGCCCTGGTGGGACAGCTCTTTTGCCAGCTGTGGTGGCCAGTTTCAGCCTGGGATCCTGAAGGGGACTCTGGAGACAGCTTGTATGGCTAGAATGACCTGGGGTGGAGGAAGCCTGAGTCAGCTTTGGTGACCAAATAGGTGACATGACACACTCCTCATCGGTTGTCACTCGGCGTCCACTGACCTCACAGCTCATGACGGTGTCTCTATGGGCAGCAGCTGCGGGGACCACACCATGTTGCCTTCATCATGATTCTGAGACTGCACGTCCATGGATCACAGAACCGTGAAGTTTGTAAAATGGAGATTTAAATAAGATCTCTTTAGTGCCATAAAAACATTCATATAAAACAAACACAAACAGTATCTGAGCATGAAGGTGCATGAACTCAGACTGCATCTGTGTGCAAATACGTGGCAGATACTATACAGTAGATTGCACATTTCAGGAAAAGCACTGGGATGTGAAGCACACAGTGTCCTATGAGATTTTCTAGTACATGCTTTGCTGAAATGTACAAGATGACCACATACGCCTGGACTCGCCAAGGCTGTGCAGCATCCTCAGTGTAACTTTCTGTTCCTCCCATCCTTAATGACGTGACCTGGCACCTATATACACTAGCAAGGTGAGCTTGATACTATGGTGTTTCAGGAATATTTAGGAAATAAGACTGGACGTGAGATAGTGTTTCTAGAAGGCGGCTGTCTGCTGGGCAGTATGGTACTTTGCAGGGTGGTACACAACAGCACCACCGCCTCCCCCCAACTACACACACGCCAGGACGGGAGGGCAGGCGGCAGCCGCGAGCGTCAGTAACTGACACTCCTTGCTGCCTTCAGGGGAGATGCTGCTGCGTGAAGGTGAAGTGGGCACTTCAGTGATTCGTCAGGAGAGAGCAGGCTATATGTAAGATGGCATTCAGTGCAGCGTGTGTCTTTGGAGAGCAGCCTCCCTGCGGCGTGTTTCAAACCTATCTTAGCAACAAGGGGAGCTGAGGGCTAAAGAACAATCTATATACTCAGTGCAGGATGACGGAGACACAAAGTCAAGTCAACAAGAGCCACTACCACCAGCTGTTCAGTTGCCTCCTACAGGCCCACTGATATCTGCTGCTAATTTAGTAACATATTTCAGTCTGAATGAATATGATGCTCAGAGTCGAAGTGTGGGCCAGACAAGCCTTGGACAAAAGCTGAGGGCCCAGACCTCCCCTAAGAAAAGCACATTCCCAAGTCAGTAGCCCCGGCCCTGGAGACGGGCCCTCTTAGGAACCTACTCACGCCCAGGAAGCTGACCGTCCCGCTGGGCTCGGTCAGAAGGTGGCGCTCTGGTCGATGGTTACAATTTCCCACCTGTTGGATGACCAATCCCTAAGCACTCGAAAGACCTACTACAGACCACACTGTGCCTGACCGCCTCTGCCCGAACCATCCAGAAGCACTTTCCAGTTGGGAGGGCTTTCAGCTGAGGGCTACAGGGTGCTGGGCAACTGAACACTGGGAAAATGGACTTTTCTTACAGAGTAAAATCCACAAACTGAAATAAAAATATAAAGTAAGATCAGTTCTTAGGCAAAACACAAGACCTAGAAATGATTCACAGACTCTTTCCAAGTAATGGGTCAGGCTGCCCGTCACTGTGAGAACATTCACCATTTACCGACCCACAGAAAACCTGACTGTAGGGTTTACCCAAGGTGAGGTGAGAGCACAATGCTCTTATTTAGTAAAAGTCTCCACACTTTTAAGTAGATTTCAGGTGGGTTTTTTTTTCAGTTATTTTATATTTTATCATATACTTAAACGACTAGCAATTGACTGAAATAATTTTGGAAATCCTGTGATAGTTGGCATTTTAGAAAACTCTGAAACTATCCTACTCAACAAATATGACTTTTTCAATATAAAAAACTACTAATAAAACCTCCAGTTTCTCAACCTTCAGCTTGATGATACAGTGAGAGCTCAGGTATGACATCCAGTTACAAGCCTGGGAAACGGTAACCAGGGATCAGTGACAGAGAAGAGGACGGCCAGGGCTGGGTCTGCCGGCCGACCTGGCGACACCGCGTCCCCGTAACCATTCTGGGAATGTCCTAGGGGGATGACAGACTGCTGCCTTGCCTTCTCTTGGCAGCTCACCAGCTCAGAAAGATATTTCATGCCAAAGCCTTTTCTTGGTTCTTTGAGATGGGCCTGGTTACCTGAAAGTTAGCAATTCCTTAAATACGGAAATACATGTGGCTCAAGTACTCTAGAAATATTCGAGTTATTAAAACAAGTAGGACCACTGGGTATCCAATTCCTTACTCCAACGTAGGCTGTACAAATCACAATGTCAGAGTATACATACAAGTGTCTAATATACACATTAAAATCAATGTAATCAACCCGGAGGGCTGCTAATAGACTTTTCAGTGTTATCAATACACCTGGACTTCTTAGAGTGGATTGTTTATGACAGTATTTTGTAGACATTGTCTGATTATGGTGAAAGATCTCCCATTTCAATTTAAATCTGGAGATCTGAAGTAAGATTCCCCCAAATCACAAAATAAACTAGAACAGACAAAAAAATTACATTGGTTTCTGAATGGAACCAAAAGTCTTCAGCGGGAAGCTGTCACTGAACTGGCTGGTGCTGGCCACTGCCCTAGACCCTGGCTGCATCTTGGGCTGGGCTCAGGCCATTTCTAGGAGATACCCTGTGCAGTGATCGCTCACCTCCTTTCTTTTTGAGTGGAGCTGTCTGCCTTTTATTTAAGGTCTTAAAGTGACCACAGAGGTTTAACTGTAGCTGATGACCAGAGGCCCTCGTGTTGCCACCCTGCATACCTTACTCTTCTTCGCATTTTTAATCTAAAGGTACCTTTCGTTCTTTACTGAAGTCTGGAGAAACAGATGAGTCTTCTTGGAGTAGTGTTTTTTTCAGAAGGCTCTGTGCTATATTAAATCACAGGCATTCACTGCTAGATGCAATGAAATATTTTCAAACTTGGTTTCCAGCCTCTGACCGTCCATCCCATCTTTCTGTGACAACATATTACAACTGCAATGATGCAACTCTGGATCTGTCTCTAAAATCTGACCTTTTCGAAACATCGTCGTCTTTGCCAAACCTCATGAACTCTGAGACGAGAAATCTGTGCTGTTAGTCCCACGGCAGCGGCAGGTCCTGTGGGTCTAGGAAGTCGGCAGAGAACATGCTGGGAGTGGTGGCGCTGAGCGGTGTGAGTCCTGATGACGTGCTGGGCATGGTAATGTCTAACCACTCCATGTTGTCCAAGTTCGAGTCAGAGAGGTCGAGGGACAGGCAGGGCGTACTTGCAGCAAACTGGGCCTCGGCCGTTTCCATGGGCGAGTGCGAGGGGCCCAGCACGCCTGAGTGGCTCAGCAGGTCGTTCTGGAGGTCCTCGATCAGGGAGAAGGGCTCTCTGTCCTCGCTGCCGCTTTGCAGGGGAGTGATTTCATTAGCTGAAGGTAGGGTTCCATCCAGGAAGGCTTCGAGTTGGTTCTCTAAGCTGGCAGATAGACTGCTCATAGGTTCTAAGGATATGGGTGGTGCCATTTGGACCTGGGGTGGTGGCCGGGACACCACCGTGCTGACCGGCATTGTGGTGATGCTAGCTGTCACTGGTCTCATTTTGGAGATAGGAGAAGGTTCTTCTTTTATAGGGAGGGAAATCTCTGTGTAAAATAATTCAAGTAATTAGCAATGATTTCATACTATTTCAACATTTCTATTAATTACTAGGGCACTTATCTTCTCTTTGTGCAATTACTTATACATGGTCCATTTTAGAGTTAGGAAGAGGCTGCTATTGGTCGGGTGTGGCCCTTGATAAAGGTTGAGGTGATTATGGTGATGGATAATGTCGTTAGATATATAAACATGTAGTTGATAGCATTCTGATGTGCTTTCAGTTCTTTCAGTAAGAGTAAGCATTAGTAGCAGTCTCTACCTGCAAGTGGGAGTTGATGGCTTTAGATGATTTGACTTTTGGGTCCTTACTCTTAGTCACTGCAGGCTGAAGACAGCCTCCTGTCTCCCCCCATAGCTCGAGTCAGCTATCAGCAGATACCACCCTTACAGTGAATGTCAAAGTGGATACCCCAAGTTTGTGCAGGCATGAGCTACAGCTTTCCTGTTAGGAAAGATCTAATTATATTCTTTTCTCTTTTTTATTACAGTTGAACTGTATGCCCAATTTAGCCATTTACATTCTATATAAAGTTGTTAAAACATACGATGTTCTCCTATGTCATTTCTGAGTTAAAGCAAACACATCATCTCCAAGAGACAGTGGATTACTTATTTTTTCTTTTTTGTTTTCTGAGTTTTATCAAATCCTTAAGATTTTATACAGTGTCTTAGGAAGCACTAGTTACTTGTTATTCCTTGTCAGATCAAGTAGCAAATTAATCAACCTTCTGCTCTAGATACCAGTGTTCACTTGGCTATATACATTTGAATGACGTTTTTTTTTTTTTAATAGTCTGACCTCTTCCAAGATTGTATTAGTAAGTATAAACACACTTTAATGTGTAAAGTTATTTCAAAACATAGATCTCAAAGCTGTAAAGAAAACAATATTATGCTAACCGTATCACTATCATGCAGTTAAAGACTAAGCAAATATATTTTAATAATTCCAGGCAGTGATGAGGGTAATGCAGCCATCTAAAGGGATGGAGAGTGAGGTGTGTGGAGAGAGAAAACGCTGGGAGAGAAGATTGTTTCAGATAAGGTTTGAATGAAGTATTTTTTTTACTTTCTTATGAGTATTTGATTGGTTTCATTTATATGCAAATACACTAGGAAACATGGATTAATAATCACTCTTACAATTAAGTGATTGGATGCATAAATGAGAGAAAGAACTTATAATTTGATTCCTGTATGTGAATTGCCAACTGTGTGTACTGTGTATGTTTTTAGGATAGTTATGTTGCGTTTCACTATCTGTTGTCAGCTCTAGAATTGTTTTGAAAGCTGAAAGTGCAACCTAAGTAATTAGTTTTACCATCAATGATTTAAATCTCTGTTCTCATTATCACTAGTATTAACATATAATAACATAAAATAATATACTCATTGATACTTTGTCATAAAAAATTATCCCTTTTAGAAAATAACTCAATTGTGACTGTCATACTTTAGTTTCCCAGTTTAGGCTGTAAACATTGTTTTTTTAATCATTTCAAGAAATCTTTATTTTAACCAGATTTGGCAAAACGCATTTTATTATTTTTTTTAACCTTAAGTTCAGTTATGGAATATCTATTTCTTTAATTTTTATCAGGAGTTTCAATTATTTTGCAAGGCCAACATAGTTCTTAGCAAAAAAGTGCTATAGCACATACAGATCTGTAGTCAAATATCAAGGATTTTCTGTTATGTCAAATATTATGACAAAATCATGAACCTCAAAATTAAATAGAACCTCCTATGAATGGAGAAATTTTGATCACAATTTTAAGATCTGAATAAAATTCCTTCATCAAGGTAATTTGCGAATACTTTAGAAATATTCCCAAATAGCATTTGAAGTTTTGAAATACTGACTTTATACTTATTTTTAGAGATATGTAAGTTTAGGCAGAGAGATCCTTGATTTTTTTTTTTTTTTGTGGCTAACATTCCCTTATTCCTACGTAAGATGACAAGACTGTAAAAAAATCTTAAGATGTTCAATCATGTGTAGAAAGTGCTTTGCCTTTGAATTTTAATAAAGCTACTTGGGCCCAAGCTAGGTAACTTGGTTTTTTTAAAAATTTTATTTATTTTAATTGGAGGCTAATTACTTTACAATATTGTGGTGGTTTCTGCCATACATCGACATGAATCAGCCATGGGCATACATGTGTCCCCCATCCTGAGCCCCCTTCCACCCCATCCCTCTGGGTGGTCCCAGAGCAGCAGCTTTGAGTGCCCTGCTTCATGCATCGAACTTGCATTGGTCATCTATTTTACGTATGTTATTATACATGTTTCAGGGTAACTTGGTTTTTGCAAAATAACACACAAATTGGAATGTTTTTATCCCATCACAACAAGACACACTTGGAGCAAGTTTTGAAGTTTTTCAATGTGGAATTTAAACATGGTTGTACTGTGCTGTTTTGAGACGGCCTATCTTTTTCAACAGGTACATATCTGTTGCCAAATCGATTATATTACTGTGTTATACTGAAACAATGGCTTCTCCATCTTGATAGTCTAAACTGAACGGATTTAAAAGAATAAAGTGAGGTAGAATTAGAATAATATGTTTCTCAGTACTTAAGAGATGTGTGGTGGACTCTAGAGAAAAACTGCTACAGACTCATGATAAGACTCTCCGGGGATCTGATGTGACCTTGACCTACCTCCGCTTTTAATGAGGATGTCAAAGAGGTCATCCATCTGCTGACTGTGTGCATTGGAAATCTACAACAAAGGAGAACATGTGTTAGCTTTCTTTTGTACAAACCTGGGAGCATTAGACACCTGGGAGCACTAGCAACCTTACAGAACATCCACTCTAGCCTGTCCTTCGATAATTCTGAAACTCTGAGGCCTCCTGAGACATGAAGCCCTGCCCTGCGTGGCACAGCTGGTTAGTTAACAGAGTGAGGATGGGGTGAACACCCAGTGCAGATGACTTATACACTTATATTCTATCACTGTTTGCATTTTGAGCGGCTTCTAACACTTTCTTCTAAAAATGTCTTCATTCATTTGCATTTATGTAAAAATACATGTTTTAAAGGTTTCCAGCTTTATTGAGAATTACCTGACATACAATAAACTACACTTACATAAAGTAGACAATTAGATAAGTTCTGACATATGTATACATCCACAAAACTATCAACTCAATCAAGGTAATGAACATACCCACTTCCCCTGAAGTTTCCTCATGCCCTTTTGCAATACTCCTTTCAGCCCCAGGCAACCCAATGATCTGCTTTCCTTGAATACAGAAGTTTCCATTTTCTAGAGTTTTACATAAATGGAGTCATACAGTTTGTACTTTTTGGCAGAGGGACAGAGGAGGCTTCTTTCACTTGACATAATAAATTTGAGATTTATCCATGTTGTAGAGTACAGCAGGAAAAGTTCATTCCTTATTATTGCTGGGTATCCCACTGTATGGAAATATCAGTTTGTTTGGATTGTCGGCACTCTTTGGCTATTACAAATAAAGCTGCTGTGAACACTTGTGTACAAATCTTTGTATAGACACGTTTTCTTTTTTCTCTTGGGTAAATACTGAGGAGTAAAATGCTGGAATTATAGAGTAGGTGTATGTTCAAATTTCTAACAGATGGCTGTTTTCCAAAATTATGTTGTTTTACATTTCCACAGCAATGGATATTTCTAGTTGTTCTCCATTCTCATTAACACTTGGTATGGGCAGTCATTTTAGACACCTAACAGTTAGTAGTGGCATTGCATTGCTGTTTTAATGTTCATTTCCCTAATGACTAAGGATGCTGAGCATCTTTTCATGTGTTTATCTGCCATCTGTGTATTTTCTTTGGTGAAATGTCTGTCCCAGTCTTTGGCCAGAACTTCTTATGCATACTGTTTGCACTGTATATTTTTCCAATCATTTCTTTCAACCTTTGTCTTCATATTTAAAGTATGCCCCTTGTATGTGCATAAAGTAGTTATCTATTGCAGTATTACAAATCAGTGCAAAAAACTTAGTGGCTTAAAACACTAAGTTTCTAAGGATCAGGAATTTAGGAATGGTATGGACAGGTAGTTCTGGCGTGGGTTCTTGCGTGGTGCTGTAGTCACGACTCTGGCCACGGCACAGCCACCTCACGGCTGAAGAATGTCCTGGCAAAGGTGACTTACTTCATGAGGACGAGCTGGTTGGCGGGAGGCCTCAGTTCCTCTTTATGTGGGCCTCTGCAGGGCGCTGCTGGAGTGTCCATACGGCCTCAGAGCTGGCCCTCTCCACAGCCGGAGGTCTAAGCCAGCGCAGGCTGGGTGGCTTTATGGCTTAGTGACTTGCTTCTAACAGATAGAACTGGCAGGAAAGACGGTGTGTGGCTTCTGAAGCTAAGTCCAAGTACACAACATACATTTGGGTCTAGTTTTCCATCTATTCTGATAATTTTTGCATTTTAACTATTATTTATTCTACTAGTATGTTTTACACAATCATTGATACAGTTAAGTTTGGGTTTACCATTTTAGTATTTCTTTCTATACTATTTGTCCTGTTTTGTGTTCCTCTTTGCTTGGCCTTTAAAAATATTGATTTTTTGGAATTCTAGCTTAATTTTTCCATTTTTAAGAAGCAATAATTGTTACTGTAGGTATACAATATATACCCTTAATTTTCCATAGGCTACTTAATGTACCATTTCCTATGAAATATAAAACCCCAGTAAACATAAAGATCATTGATTTCCTCCATCTTTTATTAGTTATTTTTAAGTATTATAGCTATATATTTTATAAACTCCTCAAGATAGTGTAGTATCTTATAATACAGGTTTGGTAGTGATGAATCTTTAATTTTTCCTTGTCTGCAATAATCTCTAAAAATGAAAGCAAACTAAAGGATATTTTCACTTGATAGAGAATACTGTGCTGACAATGTTCTCCTCCTGCCCCGCCCAAGAACTTTAAAGATGTTGTTCCATTCTTTCCATGCTTCCATAGTTTCTGATGGAAAGTCAACCGTAAATCAGATACAGTTGACCCCTGAACCGAACAGCGGTCAGGGGAACTGCCCTCCTCCCTCGAGCAGTTGAAAATCCACATATTATAGAGTTGGCCCTCCATATCCATGACTCTGTATCCATGGTTCCAACCAACCACAGATCATATAGTACTGTACTATGTATTTACTGAAATAAATCTATATATAATGGATATGTGCAGGTCAAACTTGTGTTGTTCAAGGGCCAACAGCAGTTGTTACCTGTGTATATTGTATTGCTGTGCTCTTGATGCTTTCAAGATCTGCTCTTTGAATCTGGCTTTCAGTAATTTCACTATGATATGACTAGGCCATCTATTTATCCTGCTGGTGTTCACTGAGCATCCTAAAGCTGTAAACTTGTTTTTCATCATATTTGTAAAAAATTTGATCAGTATTTCTTAAAATATTTACCTGCCTCATTCTTTCTGTCCTCTCCTGGGACTACCATCCATACCCATGTTAGACTGTTTGATATGAAATAATAGGTCTCTGAGACTCTGCTCACCTTTTCCTTAACCTTTTTTTTCTGTTATCCAGACTGGATAAGTTCTACTGATTTTTCTTCAAGTTCACTTTTTTATTTTTTTAAACCTCTGCCACCTCCATTCTGCTAAGATGATCTATAATTTTTTTCATTTCAGACTCTGTAATTTTTAGTTTTAGAATTTCCATTTCATTAAAAAATTTTTTCTATATATACTTACATTCTTCCTCTTTCTTACAAGTAAATTTTCTTTTACATTATTGAAGATAGTTATAATAGTTGTGCAAATTCTGTGACTCAAATCAGCTGGGTGTTGGTCTTAGCTGATTGCCTTTTTCCCTTAAGAAAAGGTCACATTTTCCTGATTCTTTGTATATTGCCATGTTGTGAATGGCTGTCATGGATACCAAGTTGTGGAGACTGTATTCTGTTATTTTTCTCAGATGAGTAGTTTCTTTTATTTTAGTAGGCAGTTAACTTGGGTTGGACCTGAACCGCAAAAGGTTTCTTGGGCAGAAGTTCCAATCTCAGGTCAGATCTTCTGTCTTTAGCTGATGTGCTATGACTCTAGCCCATGCGTATGTGGTTTAGGGGTCACCCAGAGATGTGGGCAGACAGAATTCGGGGATCTCATTGCTCAGTTGGGAGCAACCCAAAAGGGGAAGAACCAGTCTTCTGGATTCCCAAGGCATAAAGGCTGTGGTTTTTCTACCAGTAACCTTGCCACTTAGCTTGACCCCAGAGTGAAAACAGCAGAAACAGAGCACTCATGCCATGTAACTCCCTCTTAGTGCAGACTTCTGAGAATATGACCCTATCTGTTCACTCTTCAGTGACTTTACCATGACGAGGCTTTATAGCTCTTATTTGTGGGAAACTGAACTGGTAGGGCCTTACTTGTTATTCAGTAGTGGAACTGGAAGTCTAAGTAAATGTATTTTGAAAACCTCATAATCCCTGGACTTTAATGCTCAGTGGTGTATTGAGAGGAATTACAGATAGCTACTCATCCAGACAGAACCTGACTCCCGTAGTCTATATGCATGAGCCAGAGACAGACAGAGAGCAGGGATTAAAATCAGCTCTTAGGTTAAGGTGTGAGGATGAGTCTGTGTTGTTACATTGATCAACTAAATGCTATGTAGCAACCTGTATGTGAGAACCAGGTTTGGAAGGATTTTCTTGAAAATATGTTCCTTCTGGATGGACCAAGGGGATCACAGTCTAGTCCAGCATCATTTGTTTCCCGTCTTTTTGCGATATCTAAACCAAGTTCTGAAGTTCAGCTTTCCCCTCACAATAAATGCCCCTGCTGAGTCTGGAACTAAAGTAACATTTTACAACTAGGAAAGTTATCTTCCTTTGGTACCAAGTGGATATGAAGAAGCATTGGGAGCCGTCTGCTTCCTCGAGGAGGCAGCCTGCCCCGGCACCTGGCTCGCTATCTGTGGGTGGGCCAAACTGGGCCCTGCTGCTGCTGAGCAGTGTCTGCAGCTGCTTGCTGGGGCAACGAAGAAGGTCAGGGTGGTCACGGCGTGGCCACTGCTCCCTGGAGAGTGCCGAGCCCTGGCCCCACACACCCCCGACTGCACGTGAAGGCTCCATGGAATCACACGTGGATTGTGGGGGCGAGGAGAGCGGCATGACCCTGCAGGCGCGTCTGCTGTGGCTGTGCGAGCAGGCGGTCTAGCTCTGAGCAGCATGCCTCCTGTTCACTGTCAGCATCCACGCAGTGGTGTTAGGGCCATTCCCTGCAGCCTCTTATGAGGCCGGGGTTCTGCCTTGGCAGTGAGCCCAGAAATGTTCAGGGTAACGTCTGACATGGCTGTCGCCACTGGGCGCCCACCTGCGGCCAGATGCTTTTTACAGACAGAACTCTGCCTTTTCCCATCTCTGGGATAGATACGGTAGGCCAGGAGGGCCTCAGTCTGTCCTTCTAACGTGCGTCTGCTCAGTACACGAGCAGAGCTCTCATGTGGGCTGGCCTGCGGGGTAGCAGGTGCTGGGGGTGAGGGAGCAGTGAAGAGGGACAGAGTGGGGGCAGGTGCTGGGTGGTCTAGAAGGCCATCCAGCTGGGAGGGGGGCAGTTTGATGCCAGCCTGACAAATGGTGGCTTTAGGGAAGGGATCTGTATAACACGCGTGCCCTGGTCACACATATACACATCTGTCCTTCACATGACCCGCCTCTGGCTCTGACGGGAAGTTAAAGACAAACACTGACACTTTGAGTAAGTGGGAACTGCAGGTTATGTCGCTGCTGAAAACCCTTGGGAGTCTTCGATGTGAATGATATTTTGATTTCAAATAGCACTTAAAAGGCAAACAAGGCTCCCAAGTCATGAAACTTGTGTCTCTTGGGAGGCAAGTCCATCTAGACCAGGGCTTCAAGCTCAGGAGGACCTACCATGTTGGAGCCTGGCCTCCTCACCTCTGGAAGGGAAGATTGGGCGCTGCGAGTCTGCTTGATGGCTTCCTCATAGCGGGGAGGGTCTTTCGTCTTGGGGACTGGACTCCCAAACAGAGAGTGCTGGACCACAAACTGCTGGGGTGGAGGGGGCGAGCCGGGCTGCGGCAGACAGAGGAGGAACTGGTTAGCTGGGCTCTGGCAGCAGCCTCTCCCCCCGCAGAGGTGTGGCGGGCGGGGCCACCTTCACTGTGCTGACCGCCAAGCTGCCCCGGAATAAGTACACCCTGGGACTCTTGGTCTCCTCGCCACCCCGCCACCCCATTAATGCCGATGCTCAGCCGCACAGGCCTGAAGGCCTGGGCTCTGGATGAACCTGTGCCCTGTGTGCACTGTCACTGCCCAGGGGGCCGGGTTACCTTGTTGGGAGGGCTGGGGCCGTTCTGCAGGGAGGGCAGCGGGGTGCTTCGGGGCTGAAGGACACTGCTGTTCGCCTTGTTGATAAAGGGCTGCTGCACCGCTGGAGCAGGTGGTCTCTGATAGGGCAGAACTGTACTGGATGCCGAGCTGGTGAAAACCTGTCATGAATAAATATTTGTTCATCAGTCTGTCGCTTTGCTTTCCCTAATAAAGAAAATCATGTTTTAGAACAGGGCTTAGCAAATCTTTTCTGTGTAAGCCACAAAATGTACAGTTTAGGGTTTGGGGGCTGTGTGGCCCCCATTATTACTGCTTTACCCTGGCCTGCGGCCTAGACACAGCCTGGATGAGACATGAAATGGAGAGTGGGCTCAGGACAGTGCGTCCCCAGACAGAGGTGGGCTGGAAGCAGCCCACGGGCCCCGGTTCCTGAGCATCTGTGGTCTGTCTTGGATGGCAGCGTGTTGTGGGTATGATTTTCCTCATCTCCTCTCATGGCTCTTCATCTCATAACCACCAGGTCCACCTTTCCCAGGCTTGCTCCCAGGTGCCAAAGCCACACTTGTCACATTTACACACATACATTTGGGATATCTTGAATTGAATATGTTGCAAATTAAACTTTCCCCCTCTTCCCACTGCCCCCAGCCTCTGAGGGAAAGTAATTCTTGGTTTTGCCTTTAATGTTGACACTTTATGGGGTAAATGGACCCATCAGTCTGCTCTGCTTTCCACCCTCAGCACTCACACATCTCAGACACGCCTCCGGGGCCGGGCCCTGTGGTCTAGTGTCCTGATCCAGGTGCTCACTATCCATCACTAGAAAACTGCCTCTGTGGTCCAGCTGCACCTCCCTGCCTGTCAACCCACCTCAACGATAACAGCCTCTCACACACATACACACACACATGCGTGTGCGTGATCGCATCCCTCCTACACTCACTCTCCTGCCCTTGGGTAAAATCCTAATCTTGGGCTGGTGGGCTGCCCTTCTTACTACCAGGCTCCCTTTCCTTCCTAACTGAAAGGCCACACTCAGTTTTCCACTTTTCTTGAACATTTCTCCAAATCACTGCAAAGCCCCATTTAAAGTCTGCCCCCTTCTGAGCAGCTCTCTTCTGCTCAGTTAGGCAGAGGTGAGAATATCTTCCTGTGGAATTATGAAGTTTGTTAACTCCTCATCAAGAGCCAAAGGTTTTAGGGCCTTGTGCAATTGTATGGCCATAACATTGTTTTGTAGCTGTATTTCACAGAACTGGTTTGCTCATGAATATACTTTACACTGCTGGTATTCTGAGAGAGAAACTTATCCTCTGTATTTGTGTTTCCTGGGGCTTCCCTAGCGGCTCAGACTGTAAAGAGTCTACCTGTGTGAGTGTGTGTCCTTCTGAACAGTACAGCTTCTCTGGGTGATGAGGTCTATAGCTATACTTTCTCATTTATCTGTCTGTATACTCTTTCTCTCTCTCTTCCTTAAAAGAACACTTTAGTCTTACCATCTGAACATCTGCCAGGCTTCTCACTGCACTCAGCTGTTACCTGGGCACGCTTCTAACTCCTTGCTCACTGCACTCAGCTGTTACCTGGGCACGCTTCTAACTCCTTGCTCACTGCACTCCTCAGAGGATATTCCAGGAGAGCAGGTGTGTTAACATGACGGTCGCTGTCCCAAGAGGTCACTTCTGTCTGTTACTCCGGTTGACTTAGCCCAGAGAGTCCACAGCACTCTGGGCACATCACAGTTACACCTAATTATCTAGGTTCTTTTATGCTAAAGATTAAAACTCTGAGACTAATCGTTCTCAAGGTTTAAAATAGTAAGACCTATTTTTGAGGACTTAATATTTTTCTGGCAAGGAGATGTGCACATAGCTCCATCTACTGGATAAGAGGGAGTCTGGGTGACACGGGCCTGTTCAGCAGAACTCTTGGAGAAGTCTTGTAGAGGACTCTGAGGCCTAGATCAGCAGCGTCACTCTAGAGATGGGGAACCAATACTCAAGAGTCCTGCATGAGGCACAGCACGGAGGAAGTGGTGAGCTAGAATGGCAGCCAGGCCTAGGCTGCCTGGGTCTTACTCTCTGAGAAGGCAGACTCTTAAAAATACATAAAGATCTTGCTCAAGATAAACCTTTCAAAAAGAGTCTTTTTCATCTTCAAATATTTTTTCCCAGGGCACTTCTCCCCCTACAAAATGATTATTTTGAAAAGAAACTCAAAAACCTTAGAAAATTCTATATATGAGGATTGAAAAAATAGTTTGGAAACTTGGAAGAGGAGCTTAACTGCTAAGGTGAGTGCTCTTTCAGATGGCAGCCAAATGCCCTCTGACCTGAGGTTCACTCAGTGGAAGAGGCATCACAGAAAAGAACAAACAGGGGCTTCCCATGGAGGAGGCGCCTACGAAGATGCTCATTAAATGTTGAGCGGATGATAATACTTAATACAAGTCAGCAACAGCCTGTTGCTGTCGGCATTCACCAACCTTCCTGACTTGCTGAGGCTGACTGAGCACATGTGCTGGGAAAGCGTCTTGTTTCTGAGGCGCAGCCTGGGCCAGGCCCGAGGACAAGGTGGCAGTTGCTATCTGAGGTTGCGGCTGGATTCCTGTTTGTGGTGGAGTCTAGGAGGAAGGAAAAAAAATCAACCGAATTGTTCAAATCAAGGTTAGAGTGAAGAGTGTAGATGTGGGATAACTGGTCATGTGAGGCTCACATCTGAAAAAAATAATAAGGTAAAATGTTTATATATACACACTTCAATTCATTAGTACATAGATTCGAACCCTAACTTGAAACTAGAGAGTTAAACACGAGACCAGTTACTTTCATGCTCTGACTGTTTTGTAAGTGGCTAAGATTTTCATTTGAGAGTTTGTGGAAAGTCAGAACTGACAGCAGTTCCATACATAATAAGTCAGGTGTAGTAACTATAGTAATTTTAGGAGCCAGACTGTCCCAATTCCCACTTCTGAGCTGCAGCGTCTGTGCTCCCCAGGGGGACAGCCAGCCACGTGCTGGGCGCTCAGAGGCCCAGAATAAAATGCAGTTACTGTTTCTTGAACAGCACCCCTCGTGGGAGACTTAGACAGGAAAACGAATGCTTAGAAAAGCCATATTATACAGCGGACTTTCAATTTCACAGACACTCTAAAGATTAAACAGGGGAGCCAGAATTTCAGCACAGGCCCAGGGCCTTTGGGTCATGCCTTCTCACCCTGGGGCAGGGGACAAGACTGCTCCTCTCTGGGAGGTCAGGGTAGGGGAGCAGGACTCCACATGGTTTCTGTGGACTGCAGCCCAAGTTTTGTTGAAAAAACCTTCCAAAGTCAAGTTGCACACAATGGCTTAAAGTAATGGTTGGCCTCAAAGGAAACTTCATGCTCACCAGTGTTTTATCCTCTGTCAATACCAGCCTCACTCCTGAGTCTGTGCTCACATTCTCCTTAGTTTCAGCATCTTCACCTTAGTGGTGCCTTTCAGGAACTACATTTAGGAGGCAGAGACAGGAGTGGACATGAGAGCAGGAGCCCTGCAGTCAGGCCTCGACTGCCAGCTCTGACCTTGGACAACTTACTCAACCTTTCGGGGCCTCGCTTTCCTTTCTAGACAGGGGCTTTCTCACTTGGGTCTGCTAGGGAAAGGGAGGATTAAATGAAGCATGCCAGCTGAGGTGTTACACTTGGTGCTGTGCCTCGAACACAAGAAGTACCCAGTGACGGTCGCTGTCGTCATTATGAGAATGCCACTGGTATCTAAACATGTCTCCACATGCGCTGCTGTGTTCATTAAGGGAGAAAGGCAGCAGGAAGGCAAAGCACCCCGTCTGATTTTACTCTGAAAACAGTGTTAGCTGTCCATATCTGCGAACAACCCCCAACACATGCACGCAGTTCCTGCCATCTGGCAGCCTGACTGGGGTGCATGCAAGAAGCAGCTCGGGTCTGTTCGCCACGAGCCGTTTCTGGTTCAGGCAGGCTGTAAGGCAAGGAGTTAGAAGACACGCTTCACACCTGGAGTTGGAGGCTGCCTACGGGGAGCTGCACTGAGGTCACACCGGAGCCCTGGATGGACACAGGGAGCAGCAGCTGTGCAGTTTGCGTGGTCAGTAAAGCCTGCGGCTGAGCGACCCCGGCGGGCGGCTGGCCCTGGGAACTCACATAAAACTGTGGGACAAGGCTTGGTGGCTCGGCCGGGGCCACAGGCACCTCTTGCTTGATGACTACGGCCTTTTTGGCAACAAGGGTCTGGCCGGCCACCGGGCCAGGGCCGTCGGGGAGTGGGGCCTCGTCCTTGGTGGTGGAAGCAGTGGTGGCCCGCGTCGGGTCGGCCTTGGAGCCTGATGGGGCCGGGGCGCTGGCCGGGGGCGGGGGCTCCAGGGGCCGCTGCTGCTGCTGCCCTCGCTTCTCCACCTCCAGCTGCATCTTCAGAACTTCCACGAGCTTCTGTTCCTGTTCCAGTTTCCGCTTCAGCTCCTCGATCTGCTTCTCCTTCTCCTGGAGCTTGCGGTCCTTCTCGGCCGCGTCCAGCTCCAGGGTGGACAGCGTGCTGCTGGTGGGGCTGAGGCTGTCCTCGGTGCCGGTCGCCCGCAGGGGAGAAGAGCACAGGAACTGTGACGGGGACATCATGGTCATGATCTCGGTGAACGTGTCGGCCATGCTCGTGTCCTCAGCACTGAGGCTGGACTGTTCGGAAGGCGCGGGTGAGATGGGCAGTGGGGAGCTACCGCTGTCCACGTGGGCTGCGTTGCTGCTGCCGGCGGGGGGCAGCTCGGCCTTGAAAGTGGAGCCTGAGCTGGTCACAGAGTTCTGTAGTGTTGTCACGGGCAGGGCCACCGTGACTTCGGGGTTGCTGGGGACGATGGCGGGTGTGGGCACAGCTATGATGCCACCAGCAGCAGGGCCGCCACTGTTCACTTCCTGGTAGGGTTTCAGGCGTTCAATGAGGTCCAGTTTGGTGCCTGACACGGGGAGACCCCTTAACTTCAGCTCTGTCTTCAGCTCTGATACCTGGAAGTACAATCAATCAGATCGCTTTTTTGGTGTTACGACCTTCTGATGAATCTACAGCACACCTATGTGCTGGAAAAGGTGCCTACATCTGTCAGACAGCTCTGTATGACTGCATGTAAGTGCGACATGTTTTTTTTTTAAACACACAAAAACACAGAGTTATAGATGTAAAGGACCTGAGAGGCCAGTGATAAAACAAGGGTTATTAGAGGCTAATTCCTTTGCTACCCGAAAAGATTTACTACCAGAAATGATAACAGTTACATTTACTGTGTAATTGCCATGGGCCAGACACTGCCAGAAGCGCTTTACTCTTTCGGTTAACCTTCACGTGAGGTGTAGGCATTATTATTCCCATTTTACAGGTGGGGGGAGAGGGCATGTCACTGGCCCAAGTTATCACAGATAACAGAAGGCTGCGTAGGGGCGGAAACCAGTAAAAAGGGCCCTGGAGATCATATTCACCTGTTACACCTTCTTCTCCCAAACTTCGCAACAAGCAGGGAGGAAGGTGCTTGCTCATGGCATTTGCTCAATAAATGGAAATTTATTACTGGTCATTTTAAAGGAAACAATGGATGTAAAAAGAAAGTACTTCTATAATGGTTATCCTATTGCTGGTAAAGTTGAAGGTCTATTAGAAACTGCCTACATCTGCTGGACAGATCTGGCATAGTTTACAGTTCTGTGGTTCTTACGGGTGAATAAACCCCACTTGAAATGATCACCTTTAGGTCATCCAAGCTCGATGGCAGAGGTCCTGGCTTTCTCACAGGAGCAGGTGTATTCTGTCTCGGTGTGTTGGATGTGGTAGTGTTCAAAGCTGGATTCCCACTGCTGCTGTTCTTGTCATTGAGTGGCCTTCAAAAGAAAAAGAAAATTAGATTTTCTAATAAAATGATTTCTGAGGTTGACATTGCTCCTGTTAACAATCTGTGAACTTACAAAGAGAAAACTACCTGGTCATGGGTTGGCTGACTCAATATAGTAGAGATGTCAGTCAAATTAGACCCCAATCAAAATCCCTGCAGGTTTCGTCTGTTTGTTTGCTTGGTAAAAAGTTAGAAGATGATTCAAAGCTTTATACGGAAATGCAAAGGACCAAAAACAGCCATGGCATCTTTAAAGAAGAAAAGCAAAGCTGGAAGCATCATACTACCAGAGAGCAAAACTTATTACAGAGCCAGTTATGAAGATGATGCTGATGCAAGGACAGGACAACAAATGGGAGAGATCAGAGAATCCAGAAACAGACACTGCATGCAAGGACAAAGGTGACATGGCAGTGTAGTGGGAAAGGGTGGTCCTTCCATCAGTGGTAATGGGCCAAATTGGACAGTCAGTCACATGAGAGGAACAGGGCTCTTGATGAACCCCTAGCCTCACACCATCCCAAAACCTAAATATGAACTGGAAAACAAACTTTGAGAAGAAAACTTAGGATAGTATCTTCATAGCTTTTGATAAGCAAACATTTCTTAGGACACAAAAAGCACTCAGATATCTTTCAGAGGGTTAAAATCAAGCCCCAGGAGAAGATGTCTGTAATAACATACTTCTGACAGATGCCTCATCTAGAATACACACAGAAGTCTTGCAAATTATTGACAGTAAGAAAAAGAAAAACCTACTGGGAAAATCGTGAATAAACATATCACAAATGATCAACAAATATATGAACGAATGCTTAACTTCATCAGGTATGAGGAAAATGAAAACCACAGCAAAACAGCACTGCACACCCAGCAGAGCTGCTGTGATAATATGTAATACTGACACCACCAGGTACTTGGAACAACCACAGCCCTCATACACAACTGGTAGAAGCAGAGTTAGTACAACTGCTTTGGAGAACTGTTTAGTATCTACTAAAGAAACACCATACCCATCTGATCTAACAACTCCATTTCTAGATCAACACCTGACAAAGACACACATATGTGAACCAAGAGATGCAGGTCAGGAGATTTACTATGGCATTATTCATCAGAGCCCCAACTGGAAGCAACCAGCTGTCCCATCAACAGGATGCTGGGTGGATGAACTATGAAACAGACAACAATAAAAATTAGCTGCTGCTGTTTGCATGAATAAAGACATGACTCACAAACACCATGTTGAGCAGAACTAATCCATGGATTCAAATCAGGGTCGTCACTGAGGGGGGATGTGCCCCAAGGACAATGGAGCTGACAGTGTTCCTTTTCTTGATGTAGCAGCGCGCTTACTTTGGCATCAGTTTTCACTTATAATTTAGGGACTTCTCTAACTTATAGTACATTTTAAAAAGCTTATTTAAAAAGTGTTGGTGAATCTCTTGTACTTTTGTACTAATTCCCCTAAACTTTTCATGTTGAAGACAGGTCCTTTTGATGCCTTCTGGCTGTAATATGCTTGGCAACAATGGCATTTTCATTTCTGGCTGGTTGATAGTCATTAGAGAAAGGTGCATGTGGTCGTCGACACTGTACAACCAGTACCACTGCAGTCTCAGGCTTAACTGTCAGTAAAAGCTGTGGTGCTGAAGCTTGGTACCCGAGACGTTGAATCCCATATTCTGAAGCAGGGATCTGAGGTGACGGTGCCTCTGGGGTGAGGTCCACGGCTGGATGAACTTTCTCAAATGGGTTTTAAGAAGCCTGTGTTTAAAGCCAGCTCTGGACTTGTCAACAGCTAACTCTTGACTTGCATCTGAGACTTTTTAAACCTGCCTGCATTATGCTGAAATTAAGTACCTGAAGTTTGAATGAAATGACAAATATTTTAAAATATATCACTATTCTTTCTAAAGAGTCAACTTTTAAAAATCATATTTTCAAATTATAAAATCATTTTAATCATTGTTTCTCAGCCTTATGTTCACTACTGTCCCCCAGAAAAGCTCTTTAGATAATTTTTCTAATCACTCTCTCTGAAATTTTAATACCAGAGATGCACTACATTCTTGTTCATGTACATAGGTCTGTGCTTTATCACATAAAAACTGTAAAACTGCCTCCAAATAACTTCTGCTTCTTCATGAATGATATCTTCTCCGTGAGAATGCGTAATTTAAATTTTTAAAAATTAATTTATCTTTGGCTGTGCTGGGTCTTCACTGATGCACGCGGGCTTCCTCTAGTTGAAAGTGGGGGCTACTTTCTAGTTGCAGAGTGGGGGCTTTTCACTGAGGTAGCTTTTCTTGGTGCAGAGCACCAGCTTAGCTGCCCCACGGCATGTGAGAGCTGTTCCCAGGCAGGGATCGAACCTCCGTCCACTGCACTGGCAGGTGTTTCTTAACCACTGGGCCACTGGGGAAGTCCCCAGTGTACACTAGTTATTTTAGTCATGCTGAGACTCTAGAATACTCATTACTATGATGAACAGTTTAGTGTTTAAGTCAAGTTTTAAAATAACAAATATAAGTTGGTTTATTTTTCCCCCAAATCAACAGAGGGGGAAAAGGTAGGGGGGATACTTGATGAATGCAGTCACTGCGTGGCTGGGGATCCTGAGGTCCAGACACCTGCTGGGACCCTTCCCTTCTGTCAGTACGTGGCCATGTGGGAACTAAAGCCCCATGTCTCCAGGCTCCTGCTTCTCCCAAGATACCAAAGGGCTTTGTTATCAGTAAAGTTCCACCACTGTGGGCACTACACAACTCCCACATTTGGTTTCTTATATTGAATTTTGGTAAAAGGAAACAATGTGTTTGAAAACAACATCTCCATTTTTAGGATCTGGAGATTACACAAAACTGGTGTCTGGTGAAATAAGACAGAAATGAGAGCTCCTTCCTCCACCGAGTTCTTGGATCTTTTTGGATGACGCTTTCTTGGGGCAGGTGGCTTGGTGACTTCAGTGGCGGGAGTGTTTGAGGAGAGGGGAACTAAAGCCTTCATTGAAAGACAAAGAACTTTCGAGTTTGGGTGCCCACCACCCCCTCCCTCTGCCAGATGTTTCTTCTCATCTGCAAAGCTGGCCCCACACAATTTCTTACATTACAGAAAGGATTATGTCATTAAGACACCACCTTTTATTGGCTCTTCAGTTACCAGTTTCCTCAACAGGGCATGGGGTCAGTCCTATCGACTGTGAGTCGCTGTGAGGAGGATGCTGCTGAGCACATGGTTGGGGTGCCGAGAGCACCCCTGCTGTCCTCCTCCCTCACTGGGGTCTCATGGTGGCGGGGTGGGGGCCGCCTCCCTGGTCCTGGATGAAGCTGTAAAGCAGCAGTGGTTTGTCTTTGATGTTCGTCCAGTTCTCTGGCCTTCTCTGGGTCCCTTCCAATGTCAACAGCTCTCTCGGGCCTGCCTGCTCTTAAAATAAAAACATGCTACAAACACTCTTTTCTTCCTTCATCTCTGTTGCCCTGATGTTTCAGATTTAAGCACTTCACAGGAAGGTCTGAATGACTAATAGGTCTAATCTTCCTCAAGATATTTGTGTCTTCAAAGAAAAAAGTGAATTGGTAATTCTTAGCATATGAGGAGATTATTTCTTACAGAGAAGCTTTTTAGTAAGCCTTAATCCTTTTCTACTCCTAGAAAATACAGGCTCTCCATGGAAGAAGGCTTAGCCTACGTGTAGAAAACACAGGCTTCTACAGATCATGTGGTCATATATTGAGTGGTTGGATCAGAGTATAATTTTTTCCTTGTCATGATCTTTTTCTAGAGTTTCTTTTCTCAAGTTGACTAAATAATTCCTTTTTCCTGAAAAGTGAATGAAATGAAGGACAGAGACTTTGCATTTTTATCTGTTTTCCAGAACAGTGTTCTGAGGATGTATAACCAGTGATTTCCTCTAGTACATAATCAAAATTAGCTGTGGATATCCTGCTATGAGAGTTCAGTTTCAGAAATCTTCAGAACTCACTCCCTCTGTCCTTCCTGCTTGGGCTCAAACTTTGGACACATGTTCCTTTTTCATAGTTGTTGGTCACTGAGACCTTTTATCGTCTTTTGGGACTCCTGCCACCTGCTCCTTTCCTTCCCATTCTCAGCGTACCTTCATACTCTTGTATCTGCTTTATTGCCAAGCTTCTAACTGGCTTTCCTACTTCCAGACTCCCCTCCAACACTGGCATCAGACTGTTCTTTCTTGCATTTTGATTTTACCTTGTCACCATGGTCCTCTGAAACATCCACCATATCAAGATTAAAGTCTTCCCAACTTCACGTTTCTCTAGACATTGGCTCTGTTCAAATCTGTCTTCTGCTTTAAAAATGAGTCATATTCTTTACTCAGGCCATTTTTCTCACCATGCAACATAAACAGGCATTGCTTGCTCTAACTCCCTCTGTGTTTGTGCTCAGATCATTCCTCTTGGCTTGGAAGGGTCCTTCCCAAGTTTCAGGCCCTTTCCCTCCTGCCTTTTCCATAAAACTTTCCTTGACCACTCCAGCATTTATGCTCAACTGTTTTTTTTTCTTTTAAATTTAAAGTGCTTATACCAGGTTTACACTTCTTTTGCTTTTCTCATAGCATCTAATATTATTCAAGTAAACAAACAGGCAAATCTTTCCTGGAAGAAAAGTTGTTTCTAACTTGAAAAGTTCAGAACCTGTTATGGAGGACAAAAAGTGAACTGGAATGCAGACTTTTCCCAAGTAGACTTGACACTACGGGCTTTGATGACAACAGAATGGAAATAACCGCTGAGCACACGTACGTCACGGCGTGCAGCCTTCAGACACCAAGGGCTGCTCGTACAAACCACAGTAAACCCGGTCACGAAGCGTACTTGAGCGGCGCGGGCAGGATGGTCTGGTAGTTGTAGTGCTGCTGCTGCTGGCTCAGGATCTGCAGCTGCAGGAAGAGCTGCTGCTGCTGGAGCAGCCGGGCGTAGTTGGAGTCCATCTGCGGCTCATTCCTCTCCCCCTTCTGATCCGGCGGAATGTACTGGTGGTACTTCAGCTTCTTCACCCGGGGCTTGGGATCTTTGCACTTTTTGCTACGGTGTTTGTCATTCGGATTCTTTGGATGGCTTTGCTATTTTCGAGAAAAAAGACAGAACATTTTAAGAGAAAGCTGTCTATTCTACTGTGTGCATATCTGATTTGAAAAGGAAAAAAAAAAAGTAACGCACCTTGGAAACTGGGATTGCCTCTCTGGAAAGCAGTACAGTAAACACATTTTAGAAGCTGTGAGAACATTTGTGTGCTCCCTGTGACCAAAAATCTTGCTCCTAAGAACTTACTTCTGCTGCATTGTTCCCTTAGACTAAGGGCAATATGCTCAGTTCTGCATCATCTATGAAAGTTCAATAAACATTTGCTTTGGGTCCTGTGTAGACACTGCCTAGTGCTTACACATTACAATCTCCTTGTGAAAAAAGAGGACTCACACTAAACATACAATAGGGAAATGATTAAGTGTATTTCACTCTATCACAAATATAACAAACCTTTTATATTCTGTGAATATTTTATGATCATTAAAATCTACGGTGAATACATAAAAGCAGAAAAGTGCTTCTAATTGAGAATAAAGCAGAATATAAAGCTATGAATTTCTATGGCAAATACACACAAAAAATGCTGAGTGATGTGAACATGAATTTAAAACATTTTTTCCAAAATATTACATTTTTATTTTGAAAAATGGGGTGTGAGACCCTGTCTTATGGTTAAGAATCAGATGTCTCTTCTGGGTTTTCATCTCCTTCATTTATAAGTTATCAGATCAGTTTCTACTTTTTAATATTCATATTATAAGATAAATTCATCTTTTAAAAAAATGGTCCACAACAAAACAAAAACAACACAAAACAACATGGTATAGGAATTGTTTCTAAGATGCTTTAGGTACAAAGACACACTGGGGGCTGTGGGACAAGGATGGAAGAGCTGATTTTACTGGCACAGTTGCACAGACACTCTCTGGAATTTCTGGCTCCAGTACTAAGTGATGGAATAGGGTGAAATATACTGATCTGTGCCCTGAGGGCATGGACACCTGGCCACACAGATGAACCAGCCTGGAGTAGCAAGAGCCTTCTCTCCAGGAAGGTCAAGGACAAACGCAGGTCCTGGGGACAGAGGGGAGTGAGGAGCACGCCCAGCTAACTGCCTCCAAGGAGGAGCACTGTAGCTAAATGAGAAGGAAGGACAAAGGCCAGACAGAGATTCAGAGACAGGGTCCTGACCTTGTTACAGACTGCCTTCTTTGAGCCTCGGTATCCTCACCTGAAAGGTGCTGAGAGGCTTAGCTAGTTCTCCGAGGTCCTTTTTTAGTTCTAAAAGTTTGTGATCTGTGTTCTGCTCGTTTTGGCAAAAGCCACATCTGAAATGATTAAACCATTCCTCAGGTTACAGCTCCCCCTCCTTTATTTAGCAGTTCTAAATCCACATTAAAAAACTATTTTGACCAAGTAAAATGCAGGGAACAGTGCCATAAATCTGCAGCTTCTCTGAAGAACAAACCAAGCTGTATCAGGCCAAATCTACTAAACAACAACAACAACAACAAAAACACGTATTTTCTTCTTGAAAACCTTTAACCTGTCACATAATATATCTGTAATACTGCTGAATTTGACCTTGTGTATAGAAGTCTGAAATCACATTACCATTACAGACATCTGTGTGTGAGATTCATGAATCCCAAGTGCTAAAGTCTCTCTTTCTTCCCCTTGAGTTTCGTCTTACGGGCCTGGTGGAAGCTGAATTGGGAACTGCTGATAAAATGATTTCTAAACTCTTTCTGCTGTAGTTGTTTTATACAGACTGAATTTTGTGATGTTCTTCTGTGACCATCAAACGAGAGTCATTTGTTGAAGGTGGTGGTTTCAGTTATGAAGGCTGGGGTGAGCAAGTCCTTCTGAGGTTCTGTTTTCAAGGCTTGACTAAAAGACAGGCTGGGCAATATGGACACAGCCTCTGTCCTCCATGCTCAGGGCTAGACACCACAGTTGAAGGTGAAGTCGCTGAGGGTTGCACGCATGCAGGGTACCTACCTTCACCAGTGCTGGCCCGGGCTTCGCTGAGGACGTGGTGCTTGGGGGGAGGACGGGTGCTGTGGACCGTGGGGGAGGCTGATCCGCAGTAGGAGTTTTCAAGAATTCAGGAACTGCTGGGGACACTGGAGTAAACTGGCGGAAAAGGCAGAAAGGAGACAAGTCTGTGAAATCATTAACAGTGAAAACAGAAAAGTTAGAAAAGAAACAGAAAAGATACAGAAGAAAAATATGGTATTATGTCTGAGACATAGATGGTGGAATAACTTGCTTTATGTCCATTGAGCCAATGATTTAGTTTTTGCCCTGATAGCAACGAGAAGCTAAAGCTAAATAAGGCTGGATTCACAAAACTCTAGTGTTTTCTTAGAACTATGGTCAGAACTGCCCTTTTTTGGCAGAAAGAAAGTCCAAGACTCATAAAAATGATTGAAACAGGACATGGTACTCAAAAGGCTGCTTTGCCCTATAGGTCACACTAATCTGGGCTAATTCAGACGTGATGCTTAGTTGTCACTACCGGCCCATGAATCCCCTCCACCTCACCCCAGGTCCATGGTCAGGCAGCCTCTGGTAAGAAAGCTTCCGCTTATGGTAGGCCCGATCCATGCATGTGTCCTTAAAAGTGCTCGACAGCTTCTGTTCCCGTTTCCAAACCTGATCAGTGCTCTTGTTAACTACCGCCCCTCAGTTCTTGCAACAGAAGAAAATCTGAAGAATATATTCTAATAGGACTGACCTGTGCATTGACAGTCCCCTCACACTTAGAGCAAGAAGTGAGTTTGTTGCCTAGGCCAAATCCAGCAATTACTGAATCTCAATTTGGGGTCATATATTAATAAAGGAAGCATCAACAGCCCCCAAAAACCACTCCCACTAGCAATCTTCTGTAAGTACAGTGTAAGTATTCATTTACTGGAAAGAGAAAGTACTATTATAATAAATCAGTTAAATGTTGCATATTGATTACTACTTGGACCTTGCCTTATCTTAAGAGAAAATATCTTTATCATTTCTATTTCCCTGAACAACTCTCAAATTCATTACAACAATCAAAATCAGTTCTCTTGTTGAAGTATTCGGGTTTAAAAATAGCAAAATGTATTTTCCCTCCTTAAAATAAATGACCTGAAAACTCAGAGGGCTATTAGCTGCAAGAAATATGAAGCTTGGCACATACTGTCTCATCTGGTCTGAAGTTGCTCAGTTGTGTCTGACTCTTTGCAATCGCGTGGATTGTATAGCCCACTAGGCTCTTCTGTCCATGGAATTCTCTAGGCAGGAATACTGGAGCGGGTTGCCATTCCCTTCTTCAGGGGATCTTCCCAACCCAGGGGTCACACCCAAGTCTCCTGCGTCTCCTGCACTGCAGGCAGATTCTTTACTGTCTGGCACATACTAGTTACTTAATAAATATTTGTTCAGTGGGTGAATGGAAATTCCTGGCAGCGTTACTCATGCTGGGTCACTCCAAGCCCGATGAGCCTGGGACATGTGGGTGGGTGCAGTCAGATGTCCATGCCCATGTCGCTTCTCTCCCTGAACTGTGCTTTCACTTTGTCATTGATTTACGTTTTTAAGTAACTAGTAGTTAACAGCAAGTGTGGACGATACAAAAGGCTTGACTTTTTGAAGGTGGCCGCATTCAATTTCATTTTCAAACAGAAATGAAGGGATTCTTCCATGAGTCTTGACACCTATGTTCCAGGGTGACTTCTGTCCCCAAAGAGCCCTGAGATGGCTGGCTCCTCAGTGAACCTCTGACATGTAGTGAATGATGATGACCTGTGGATCCCTGCTTTAAGGGACGTGGGTTTATATCAACTATTTCTCTTTCATGTACTCTTTTTGTTTTTTTGGAAACGCGAATACTTATCTTTGGGTCAGTTTTCACACAGGGGAAGAACATTCTTTGGCTATTAAATAACTGGCATATGAAGCAGAACCAGATATTTGAATTTTGAAATATATATCTCCTTGCAGATAAATTCTACTAAACTAGCAAGCTATTTTACCAGTCTAGCCGCTATTGAGTGATATGATAGCAATGATTTATTAGAGAGCAGTCTTAATAAATGTGGTATCAACTGTAATATTTATGAAAATGTATGGCCTCTATTTCTAGACCTTGTCTGATTGACTTCTGCCTTAATGCTTCCATCTTTTAGATTTTTTGGCATTTTAGTTTGACTCTGCTACCTAGAAAACCACAGACTCCCGCATAACTCAATTGAGATAAACTGATTGTTAATTTTACCTAATGGGAAGATAAATTCTGGTTAAAAAGGGAGAAATATCTAAACGCTTCTTTACATATTGCTGGTCTTTTTTATGTGCCTTAGAAAGGAAACCTCCACCTCCCTACTCTCCCATCTTCCATCATAGATCTAGATGTTGGAATTCCAGTGGCTAGAATTACCCCAAAAGTCTCAGTATTATTATTTTGGAAATGAAAGTATTCCAAAAAGGACTAAAAGAATATCCAAGGCATAGAGTATACTGCACTTATTTTGTTCTACAGTAAATTGAGCAATATGTTAAAATCTTAACGCTTCATCAACATCAAGATCTAAGTTCACCTTATGGACTATTAAAAATGTAATCTCAAAATGATGGAGAATCTTTTCTCCCAAAAAACAAAAAAGTTGCAAACTTTGCTTTGTTTTACTGGATCTGATACACCGTTCTTTTCACAACTTCTGGTCTCATGACAATGGTTGTCATTTTAACATGAAATAGGAAAACATTATTTTTTAATGATGGATACTTAAACTTTACATAAAACTCAAAAGAAAGCACTTCAAGTATTAAAGACTGGAGAAGGAAATGGCAACCCACTCCAGTATTCTTGCCTTGAGAATCCCATGGACAGAGGAGACTGGTAGGCTACAGTCCATGGGGTCGCAGAGTAGGACACGACTGAGCGACTCCACTTTCTTTCTCATATTAGAAATCACTATAGAAAAGTTTGCTACGAAAGAAAAAAGTAAGTTCAGAGCAAGTGTTTAAGCTGATTAGAGTTTTATGTTTCATGTATCTGCACTGGCTCCTTCTGAAAAGATGATACATTTGCCAAAGAACAATCATTCATCTCTGGTAAGTTCCTTTTTCATTAGAATTTCTTTATACAATCTGGGGGGATAGAAGCTAGATATTTAAAAACAAAAGTGTTTTGTACTGTAGACTTTAAATCTACAATAAATGTGTTTTCAACTTAGGATGTAGCAGAGATCTTAAGATGGCAGTATGCAAATAAGAAATTCAAGATGCAATTATTCTTTAAATATTTCCATATTCCAAGCCTCAGATAAAATGAGTCAAATACAAATCAAAAATATATGCTTTGTATATTTAGCAGATGGATAGTTTATGTAAAATTCCAGCTTCGTTAAAACATATCACCTAACACTGACCCCTTGTTTCTGTATTACACAGTTTTAAGTTTAAGCATGTCATTTATAGAATAAATAGCTGAATATTAAAATCCACTTGCATGGTAGCTAGAGGACGTTTGGTTGGTACTTGAATATCTGACAGTGGTGAGGATTGACAGGCGTCGCTCATTTTAAAAAATCTATTATTTTAAAAAATGGTGGTAAAATATATGTAAAATTTACCAATTAAACCATTTTAAAGTGTATAATTGTATGTCATTAAATATATCCACACTGTTCTGCAACCATCACTACTATTCATTTTCAGAACGTTTTCATCATCCCTAACTGAAACTGTGCTCATTAAACAACAATATTCCATTCTCCCTTCTCCCCAGCAACCACCATCTACTTTCTATACGTATAAATTTAACTACATTTAGAGTGGAATCATACATTTTTCTTTTTGTGGATGGCTTATTTCACTTAGTATAGTGTCCTCAAGGTTAATCCATTTTGTAGCTTGTGTCATAATTTCCTTCTTCTTTTTTAAAAATTTACTTATTTAATTGGAGGCTAATTACTTTACGATATTGTAGTGGTTCTTGCCATACATTGACATGAATAAGCCATGGAGAATTTCCTTCTTTTTAAGGCTGAGTAATACTCCACTGTATATATACCACATTTTGTTTATCCATTCATTTGTTGACGGACACATGGGTTACTTTTAATGCTGCTAGAAGCATGGGTGTACAAACTGATATTCAAATCACTGCTTTAGTTCTTTTGGCCATATACCCATAAATGAAACTGCTGATAAGGTAATTCTATTTTTAACTTTCTGAGGAACTGCCATACCAAATTTCTATAGCAATTTGCACCATTTATTTCACAATTCCACCAACAGCGAACAAGGGTTCTAATTTTTCCACATCCTAATTGACAACTTGTTAATTTCTGTTCGTTTTGATGTTTGCTATTCTAATGGTATGAGGTGATATCTCATTGTGGTTTTGATTTGCATCTCTAGTGATTAGTGTTGTTGAGTATTATTTCATTTGTTTGTTAGTCTTTATATATCCTCTTTGAAGAAATGTTTATGCAAGTCCTTTGCCCATTTAAAAATCAGGTTTTTTCCTGTTATTTGTGAGAGTTCTTTATATACTCTGAATATTAGCCCCTTATCGGATACATGATCTGCAGATTATCTTTCTCCCATGCTGTGGGTTGCTTTTCACTGTTGATAGTGTGCTTTGATGTAGGTTTTAATTTTGATGAAGCCTGCTGCTGCTGCTGCTAAGTCGCTTCAGTCGTGTCTGACTCTGTGCGACCCCATAGATGGCACCCACCAGGCTCCCCCGTCCCTGGGATTTTCCAGGCAAGAACACTGGAGAGGGTTGCCATTGCCTTCTCCGTGATGAAGCCTAATTATCTATTTTTTCTTTTGTTGCCTGGTGTCATATCTAAGAAATCATTGCCAAATTCAGTGTCATGAGGCTTTCCCCTATTGTTTTTTTTTTCCCCTCAAGAGTTTTTAACAGTTCTAGCTCTTATGTTCAGGTCTTTGATAATTTTGATTTAATCTTCATATATGGTGTTAGGTAAGGATCCAACTTCATTCTTTTGCATGTGGACATCGAGTTTTCTTAACACAGTTTGTTGAAAAGACTGTCTTGTCTCCTTGAGACTGAGTGACCTTGACACTTTGTCTTAAAATCATTTGACCAAATATATGAAGACTTATTTCTGGGTTTTCGA